AGGACAACAGCGCGTGTTCGTTTCCCACTGCATACACCTGTGGTCCGGAGTTTTGCAAATATCTCAGCATTTCATACGAAATTTTTCCCATTTTTTTCTTGATACTTATTAAATATATTGAAAGTAATGCAATGCTTCCTAAGGTCTCGTTTTTTTTTGCGACGGAGTATTTTTGTTGGAAATTTTAGAAACGTGAGTTCTGCACTGAGATTTTTTTGAAACTTTCAGTTCTAAGTAAATTTGAAACCAAAAAAGTGTTTTCCTTGTATGGCCTTAAAAAGACGGAGCAGAACCTCGTTTATAGAGCTTCAGTTCTTTAGTTACATTTCAGAAAAAATATCAGCCGTCACCGGTAAACCGGCATGGTGTACTGGTTATGTGAAATTTCCTTTAACTGGCTTGCACCTCGAAACACTGTAAAAAAGGTTAGAGTAACGAAAAATTTTACCGTTTTACCGATTTCTTGCTCTTCTTCTCCGCTAACAGAAGTAAGAGAATCTGGATCAGAGCCTGGTACAAACCCAACGTTGATTGGTAGACTAGCTCTGTGTCCATGATCTATGATGGATGCATTAAAAATAGACTCAGTTATGTCATCAAAATCGTCTGTGCTTCCATCTGTCATTCCTGCACTCGTTTCAGATACATCTGAATATGAAAACGCTTCATCAGTTTTTGGAAGAAACAGTGAAAAACATAAATCACACCTAAATGACTTTCTGTCGTGGACGTTGTTCCATGATCGAATAGCAATGACGTTCCATTGGAACTTGACCTAATGAAAGCTGGTAAAGTTGGCACCAAAGTTTCCTCGACGGGAGTAGTAACTTCGGAAACTAACTTAGGTGGAAAACTTGCAGAATCTTGATTTCCTGGTTGTACAGCATTGTTAGTTTCGTCCAAGCTTGTTTCCACATTCCACGACTTGTTGATCTTAGTAGGTTCCTCAACACTCTCCTCTTCCATTAACGATTCAGTTGGCCTCACTCCTTTTTCTTCAAATTCGGGAATTCTCCCAAGAGCTTTCGTTCCTGGTAGCGTCGATGTTTCTAACGTCGTTCCAGATTCCTCGGTTTCAAATACGAAAGAGGCTAGAGATGAAGTCTTCAACCCATCATCACGGTTATCTGAGGGAGTTCTGGTCACCAGTTCTGAAGAATCCGGGGATAGGCTTCCTGCTGCTGTTTCCTCTATGATAGGTTTTACTTCCGGCGACTTATCGCTTTGAACGTGATCTTGCTCACTTTTTTCTATTGTTGGCAGTGTTATAGAGGAAGTTACGTTTTCTACAAGATGGTGATTTCTCCCATTTGCTTCTTTCATTCCTACTAAAGACAATTCCAATGCCGTGCTAAATTGTTCAGTTGTGGAATCAGTAAAAGATGAAGATGTGCTTGCCACGTCTTCGTGATTAGTTGAAAAAAAGGAATCTCTTGCCGTTGATTCTGATGGCATCTGAGTTTCGGCCACTACCGTTGTTTCCTCCATATGCTCCTCCACTTTTGGTGCATTATTGGTATTCACTGGTTTTCTCTCAATCCCTTCCTCTGCGGAAACTGTTATCGACGAAGGTATTTTTTCGTTGAGTTCCTGAATTGTTCCACCTGTTTCAGTTGTTCTTCCAGTTGCTGTTGGTGTCGACGACTCCCAAGTTGTTCTTAGCTGCTCTTCTGTAAAACTAGAAAAAGATGAAGACGGGCTAGCAGCAACTTCGATGTGGCTATCCAAAGAAGAAGCTTTTGTCGTTGATGCTGTCAGCACGCCGGTTGCCTCCACTACTGTTGTTTCGTCCATTTTCGCTTCCACCTCCGGTAAATTACTGCCGTCTGCTGTTTCTTCTCCGCTCGCTTCTACTGTTAGTGATGTTGCTGACGAAGGCGTTTTCTCTTCGGGTGCCGGAATTTCTCCGCTTTCCTCCTTCACTGGGATTGTGGGTGTAGATACAGGACGTGACGGTACCATTGTAAGCTCTTCATCAGCGATTACTGGAGAACCTACTGTTATCGATTCCGATGGCACCTGTCTTACTGTTGTTGTTTCGTCTACGTTTGCCTCCACTTCGGGCAAATTATTGATGCCCACATGTTCATTCCCACTCGCTTCCGCTTCTGATGGTGTCACTGATAAAGGTAATTTCTGTTCCTGGCCCGGAATTTCTCCGCTATCTTCCTTCAGCGGTATCGTGGATGATTCTACCGTCTTTGTCAGCTGTTCAGTCGTAGATTCCGGACGTAATGATAGTTTTGTAAGATCTCCATTATCAATGGATGGAGAACTTGCTCTCACCGATTCTAACTCTGTTTGCTCCTTAGCTAACGTTGTTGCTCCATCCTTGCTCGCCTGTACTTTAGGTAAATTGCTACCCACTGGTTCTTCTCCACTCTTTCCAACTGCATGCGGTGTTGCTAAAGGTGTTGTTTCTTGTGGCTCTGGCATTTCTCCGCGATCATCCTTGCCCTGTACCATCGATGGTTCCGCTGTTGATGTGAAGTGCTCAAGTGTAGGTTCAGCAAGTGGGGATACTGTAACAAGTTCTTCATTAGGGCTTCCTAGAAAACCTGTTGTTACTGATTCTAGTGGCATTTGGGTTTCAACTAATGTTGTTGCCTCCTCCGTGGTCGCCTCCGCTTTTGACACTGGTTCTTCTCCAGTCGTTTCCTCGGCGTACGATGTTGTTGACAGTGTTCCTTTTTCCGAATCTGGAATTACTCCACTGTCCTCCTTCACCGGTAACGTTGATGGTCCTTCTGTTGGTGTAAAATGGCCAAGTATAGATTCAATAGGTGGAGATGCTGTAGCAATATTTTTATTAGGGATTACTGGAAAGCCTGTTGTTACCGATTTTGGTGGCATCTCGCTTTTACCAAATGTTGCTATCTCGTCTATGTTCGCCTCTACTTTCGGTAATATATTGCTATCTACTGGCTTTTTCCCACTGTTTTTTGCATCTAGCGAAAATGTTTTTTTCTCTGGTAACGGAATTTCGTTGTTATCCTCATTCATAGGTATCGTTGATGACTCTTCCATTGTGGTGAAGTGTTCAATTGTAGATTCACGACGTGATGATGTCGGGGTGAGATCTTCATTAGTGATTGCTGGAGAGCTCGTTGTCACCGATTTTGATGGCAACTGAGTTTCAAATAATGCTGATGTTTCCTTCGTGGTTGCTTGCACTTTCGGTAAGCTATTCCTATCCACTGGTTCTCCAGCCGTTTCCACTGTGGATGGTGTTGCTGACAGTGTTCTTCCTTCCAGCTCTGGAGCTTCTCCTCTCTCCTTTTCCGCTGGCATCACGGATGGTTCTTCCGTCGTTGTCAACTGCTCAACCGCAGGTTCTGTACCTAATGGCACCGTTGTGAGATCTTCATTAGTGATTACCGGAAAACTTGTTGCTACAGATTCCGCTGGCAGCTGGGTTTCACCAAACGTCGTTGTTTCGTCCTTATTAGCCTCTACTTTCGGTAAAATACTACTATCCGCTGGTTCTTCCTCGCTGGCTTCTACTGCTGGCAAACTTGTTTCTTCTTCAGGCAACCGAATTTTTTCGCTATTCTCCTTCACCGGTATCGTAGATGATTCTTCCGTCGTCGTCAATTGTTCAACTGTAGGTTCTGTACCTAGTGCTACCGTTGTGAAATCTTCATTAGTGATCACCGGAGAACTTGTTGCTACAGATTCCGCTGGCAGGTGGGTTTCGCCTACCGTCGTCGTCAACTGTTCAACTGTAGGTTCTGTACCTAATGGCACCGTTGTGAGATCTTCATTTGTGATTACCGGAGAACTTGTTGCTACAGATTCCGCTGGCAGGTGGGTTTCGCCTACCGTCGTCGTCAACTGTTCAACTGTAGGTTCTGTACCTAATGGCACCGCTGTGAGATCTTCATTAGTGAATACCGGAGAACTTGTTGCTACAGATTCCGCTGGCAGCTGGGTTTCACCAAACGTCGTTGTTTCGTCCATGTTCGTCTCGATTTTCGGTAAAATATTGCTATCCACTGGCTCTTCTTCATTGGCTTCTACTGGGGGAAGATTTGTTTTTTCTTCAGCTAACGGAAATTCTTCGCTTTCCTCCTTCACCGGTGTCGTAGATGATTCTTCCGTCGTCGTCAACTGTTCATTTGTAGGTTTTGTACCTAATGGCACCGTTGTGAGATCTTCATTTGTGATTACCGGAGAACTTGTTGCTACAGATTCCGCTGGCAGCTGGGTTTCACCAAACGTCGTTGTTTCGTCCTTGTTAGCCTCTACTTTCGGTAAAATACTACTATCCGCTGGTTCTTCCCCGCTGGCTTCTACTGCTGGCAAACTTGTTTCTTCTTCAGGTAACCGAATTTCTTCGCTATCCTCCTTTACCGGCATCGTAGATGATTCTTCCGTCGTCGTCACCTGTTCAATTGTAGGTTCTGTACCTAATGGCACTGTTGTGAGATCTTCATTAGTGATTACCGGAGAACTTGTTGCTACAGATTCCGCTGGCAGGTGGGCTTCACCTAGTGTTGTTGTCTCGTCCGTGCTCGCCTCGATTTTCGGTAAAATACTGCTATCCACTGGTTCTTCCCCACTGGCTGGCGAAAGCGTTTTTTCTTCGGGTTCTGGAATTTCTCCGGTCTCTTCCTTAACCAGCGCCGCGGATGATTTTTCAGTCGAGGTGAACTGTTCAGTTGTAAATTGAGGACTTGATGATGTTTTTGTAAGTTTTTCATTAGTATTTGCTGGAGAGCTTGCTGTAACCGATTCTGACGGCATCTGAGTTTCATCTAATGTTGTTGTTTTGTCTATGCTTGCTTGAACTATCGGCAAATTATCCTGTGGTTCTTCTCCACTGGTTTCTATTGCCGGAGAAGATAATTCTTCTTGAAGGAGTGGAATTTCTCCGCTTTCTTCCTGTGTTGTTTCAGTTTGTGGAATTGATAAGTTGCTGCTTTGTTTCTCCTCCTGTTCTGGAAGTGCGTCTATATTCGAAGACAGAAAGCCGTCGCCATGTTCGTCAACGCTGGCATTTCTTGGAACTAAAATTGATTCATCATATTTATGTGAGTCCTTGAAATATTTTTGTTTTATCTTGGCAAAACGGCTGCCAACTTACCGCAACTCAAGCAGTGTATGAATATGGGCTGTTCCACATGAGAAAGGGTAACAAGCATCGATTTGGAACAATACGGCTTAGCATCATATGACAGCGAACATCCATTTGTTTCCGGCACAAATTTTGCACCAGTGCAACCATTCTGAAAATTCTCGCAGGCATTCATTTCAATTCAATTATAACAAGAGCAATTCAAAAACAAGAACAACAACATGGTTAATGAAGATCATCATTAAGTTTCATATCTTCTTCATGCGAGCCGAACAATTCGTTCTTTTATTTAACTTATGTCAAGCTATTTACTGCTGACTTGAGCTATCTTCTCATCGTCGCTGAAGTGTTCTAACGTATCGTATTACAATGCGCACTAAGAGATTCACATCATCGAGGGTCACTCAATTTGTGAAAATTTTAACATTTCCATCCAACACTAAAGCTAAGAGTGAACTAAGGAACAACCATCGTCCTGGAAAAAATCCAATGGCAAGTCGGCTACGGTTATCTGAAATCTCGAACAACTTACGATGAGAATTAGAATGAATGGAAACAATTGGCCCACTAGAGACGAAAAATTGTTCTTCGCTCTGCATCTAATGCACCACGGCAATTTTTTCTCACTTTGACTTTTACCCTCTCGCACATGATTTTAGAGAGTTTTATTTGATTATCTTATGGATATCCAAGGGCGAAAACACCGAAATGTGTCAGTTAAACGACGGAGCCTATGGTATCCATTATGATAAGGTCACGCCGTTAGCACAGGTTTTAAAGTGCAGCTACCTATTTCCGATCACGCAACATCGCAATGGCATTCTATATCTACAACCTACATGTTAGGGGAAGATCAGTACAAACTAATGAGAATGAGCTAAAAGCGTTATATGATTTACGGCTAGATGGAGAAAGCAATTCTCAACGAAGAGCACTTATTTTTTTTGCCACAGATCTCACATCATAGTATAGAAGGACGATGAAAGTGGATCCCATATCGACAAAGTGAAATTGGAGAGGAAGCTTAAGATAGAAGCCTCCCTGATGACCTCCTACCCACAATAATTAGGTTTTACAGAATTTAGTTATTCAAGGAAGATTATCGGCAATTGACAAGGAAATGGAACGAATTCCGCTACATCTTCAAAAATAGAGGATGGTATCATCTTGATACCCTCGTAATGCCTTACTTCTGTATTAAATCCGGTCATAATCTTCTCGAATTGCATCGATTACACTTTAGCATTTCTTAAAGTCGAATTTCCTTTCGTCGAGAAAACAATGGAAGCTCGATTGTACCACTCACAAACACGGTCAGATTCTAGGTGCAGGTAATAAAAATGAAACTGTTTGAGACAGCTAGATAAGGGATATTCTTAAAAAAAGGCATTGTCACCGCTCCATCAATACAATATTTCTCTGCCAGCCCTCACAAATAATTACAAAATGACCACCTCCTACTGCTCCATGGTATAGAACAGATAACTAAATAGTTGCACTTCTCTCTTTTCTGGGCCAAGACCTCTGCTCTATACTGCAAAGCTTCTCCTTTTAAAGAACCATCAAGGATTCTTCCCTCTGAAGTTCGAGCTGCGATCAAAGTATAAAGAGATATCGCTATAGGATCACAACCAACTTCCTTTCAGCCAAAGACCACAAACTTCACCGACATCCGGCAACCAGTATGAAAAGATATGTAGATGATTTTCACTTCCTAAGAGCTAAAACAGAAACCATAGTTGTTGTTCAGAATAACAAAGGTTATTGGATAATAGAGCGCGATTCCGGAAAAGGTAAAATTTATTGGAAGATTAGTCATTGTCGACTGGACGTGTTAACAATGGGGTATCGTTTCGCCAAGAATTTGAGTGACTAATTCATCAACCAATGCCAGTTGGAATCCTTTAGCTGAAAATGTGTCAAGGAGATTAAACGGGTACAGGAAAGGACATCTAGGAGAGATTGCACAGGAGACGCACAGCAGCGGACCATGGACCGTCCTAACGGCTCTATAAGAAGCCACCAACCGAGGGTCAGACATAATAACCCGTGCTCACCTGCTTGAGTTAACGGTTTTAACGCTCTGCTACGAAGGTGAAACATTTCCTGGCACGTCAGCCACATTAAATATTTGCGCATCACCCACAATGCGCTCTTGCGCTGCCTTCTGAAATAAGACCGGCACACACAACATTTAACACAACTGCGCAATTCATACCTTGGAAAACTATCCTATTTTCGAGATTTAAAGGAATAAATCTGGAAACCGAAGTAAACAGATAGACCAATAGTGTGGTGAGAAGGATTGACGATAGAACGACGGTACTGTAGAATGGACCCCTAAGGGATGAATCGTCCAAGAGGGAACTCTAGCAAGCGTCCGTAGTCAAAATGGATTTTTTTACAACTTTCGAAGATCAGCTGCATCGCAGATTGAACCGATGTATAGATGACGAAATACTACGTTCAAACGTTACCATGTTCGGAACTGACCATAACCACGAACGACTTGTGCACGGAAGCGAAATCAGTGGTGGATTTAATGGGGTCTACAGAACTCGCGAACTATTAAAGCATACGAGCAATTTTTTGGAAAACTTCCATTCCTACGATTGCACTACGATTGCAACGGTTTTTCACCATAACAGCTAACTCTTGACTAATTAAGGTAACCAACCCGATAACATTGGAATGCACATATTTCAGCTGTTTCGGTTGTGAAGGACGTTTCGAAGTTCGAAATTAGTTGAGGTGGACGTTCTGCAAGCTTGACGAATTGGAAGCGCACAATGCAACCTGAAAATTAAATGTTTAGGTTTAAAGTCTTGATAACTTTGTGGAATCCCAACTACATAAAATATCACAAAAATATTTGGAACACTATATGATTTGCCAATCATTCCAGCTTAGATCCACAAGGTTCCAATTTCAAACCATTGGAAGCGGACAAAAATTGTCGCTTACCAAAAAACAAAAATAACATTAGAAGAAATACAATCTGAAATTATTCTTAATGCTTATGAAGCAAACGATTATCTTTCTTTTGAAGAATCCGAGTATTTCGAAACCGACTTTCTCTAAACCTCGGTGTGACTAATCAATATGTTTTCTTTCTTTGATGAGCTTACACGAGGTTGATAATGATGTTTATTTTCGGCTAACGTTTCGACGTCTTCGTCTTCCTCAGAGCCGGTGATCCGAGTCGATGGTCCACGCTTGTTATTCGTCTCGACGTGGCAGCTTCGCCTTCGTGTCGAACCAGGTCCTCCTCAGTGAGCCATCTTCTCGAATCGAATGAGGCATCCTCACTCAGTGATGCCCTTTTATACACGATGCTGATGGTGGATATATAATGATAATGTCCGGTGGTAACAGCTTGTATTTCTTCCGGGCATACATCGTTGCGCACATCGTGAAGAAGTCGGAGTTTTTTTTAGCCGAAAAACGTTAGCCGAAAATAAATATATTTATCAACCTCGTGCAAGCTTATCAAGAAAGAATACATATTGATTAGTCACACCGAGGTTTAGAGAAAGTCGGTTTCGAAATATTATTACTACGCTTTGTGCTAGCTGATGAAAACTCCGACTTCTGCACGATGTGCGCAACGATGTATGCCCGGAAGAAATACAAGCTGTTACCACCGGACATTATCATTATATATCCACCATCAGCATCGTGTATAAAAGGGCATCACTGAGTGAGGATGCCTCATTCGATTCGAGAAGATGGCTCACTGAGGAGGACCTGGCTCGACAAGAAGGTGAAGCTGCAACGTCGAGACGAACAACAATCATGGACCATCGGCTCTGAGGAAGACGAAGACGTCGAAACGTTAGCCGAATCCCAGTATGTTATGGCACGTCTTCAGGTGGCAAATAGGGAATTTATGCGGACAAAAAGAGGCTAAGGACTTCCTTCAAGATACATGGGATTCATAGCATCCTGTAGCTCACGGCCTCGAATTTTCACGTAGTATATATCAGCACTGTATGTGGGATACGTTTGATTTCCTTTGTCCAAATTATTTTCTACAATTCACTTTGGTAAACTCCTGCAACCATTCCACCGCGAAGTGCTTCGGAAAAGTTCTAGATTCGCCTTCAACTGAAAACCCATGCCGCTTCAAGAAACTACGGCCAGCTATCCGAGTGCATATGCAGTTTTCAGTTCAGCAACCTTCCTTTAAGTAATTTGGTGGCTAACATCAACGGTGGACCTCAGCAAATTGCGTTATTGTTATCACTCGCCAACAAGAAATAGGTTAGCACTAAGACTTGCACTAGCTTGCGATGTGGTAGGATTGACAAAGAAGAACAGATTGTTCACAGTCTAGAATCTTTTTAGAGTATTAGAACATAGAATAACTACAGTGACGATCTCCAGTCAAACATAAACCCACTAGCATCTGAAATTTCTATCAACGATTTGATCAAACAGACTAACAACTGGAAAAAAATATCGGCGCTTAGTAGAATCTATGACGTTGGAAAGAATCGACGTTGGATCGACAAGTGTTGCAGCATAGGAACTGGCGTAGTTGGTGTTCCATTCAATACGCAATTAGCGAAGATTAGCTTGAATATATCACAGAGGAATTCCACCAAAGAAAATCGCATATGTCTCAATGTCAAACTACAACGATGAAGAAATCGAAACGCAACCACGAGATTGCTGAGACATTTGCAAAACTCCGGATCGCAGGTGTCTGCGGTGGGGAACAAACGCGCTATTGGCGAGTAGCGCGTTCACCACCACAGCATCCTGGTCCTTCGTTTCGCGTGTCTCTCAGCTAGTTCTATCAATCAGCGCAAGATCAACCCCGTTGACGGATGACTGCTAAGTCCTACTCAAACGGTGGGAGGGGATGTGTTGTAGAAATGTGAAATTTTGAGTTCCATTTTCAATAGTTTTAAACTAGGAGGCGGATAGCACAGTGGTAGTGATGCTGTTCATCACATGCACGGTGCCGGCTCGACCTCGCCGTGGGCTCACCAGTCCACCAATCCCTCGTGGATAAGTGAAATGGTGGGCTCACTTCGTCCAGTTTTCGTATGATCTCGCGTATGCCTTGACACAGCAATGCTGGGATTCGAGGGAACATCAACACGACTAACAACGATCATCCTTAAACAGCAGCTGAACTCGAACGCAAGCATAAACCACGAGATTCTATCCGATTTCTATGGTGCGTTTGCAATAATAGGCCTACCGGATAACGTAAAACGACAGTCAATGAAGATTGCCCTTGCGTGCGCCTGAAGCAGTCAATAATCAATGCTATGACTAGGTAGTAAATCTGATCAAAACTAAAATATCGTCACATATTACCGCTAAAATTGTATAATTAGTACGTTTTCACAGCCAGTTTTTCAAAGGTGGATTTTCGTTCTTAACTTATGTTATTTAACGTCGGCAAACTTCTCAGAAGAATCAACGACTGCTTAAAAAGCGACAGACTCATCATCTCTACGACTTTTTTGTCCATTCTGTTTGTTTCTCAAAAATCTTTTTTTTCTTCAAGAAAAGTACAAAATATGCTACCTTCTGGACTTTTTTTCAGGAAATCCTGAAACTCCTCATTTGCTTCGTGGAACTTTGATGATGGCGGTGTAGACCCGCTGGTTATATCCGAAGGGCGGACTGGAGTTTCTTCCGTTAGATGAGGTCGTACAGTATCTGAGGAAGAAAAAATCCGCCATATATAAACGGAAAATTGTGATATATTGAAGAAATTCAGATAATCTGAATTTCTAAAAAAAATCAACTCACAACAATTCACGCAATGGATCCAAGTTGGTTCAGTTGCTTCATAACGCAAAATAACATCTGAGTTATTGCAAAAGTTCTTATCGGTGTATGAGAGTTCACACGACCTCGTTTTCGGGTCAAACTTGGCTCCGGTACACCCATCCTGAATTAAGTACAACTTCAGTTGGATATAAAAGAGCGGCCACCGAGCGGTTTCCACCTGATAGCAACGTGTCGCACACAATTCGACGGAGTCTGCTTGTAATTCCAATTCGAATTCAGCGTGAAGCTGTGAAGGTCGTTCCGACAATGGTCGGGCTTGAAATTTTATCGCACAATCTGCAACTCTTACGTTGACGAAGATCCATTGAAAGCACTATTGTTTTTAAAAAAACCAATGCGTTTTTTGTATGTTATGTCATCACAAAATAATTATCAACCTTCTTATTTCTATTTTCATCTCGTTACATGACCAGCCACTGCATATTTTTGGATTCCAGCACTTCCTTCATTCGATTTGTTTGGTCTCATCAATGAGAGGCTTCAGATTTGCGTGTGACTACGGCTGCTATTTGACGTTCGTAGATCTTCACCGCAGTAACTACCACCTTTTGAGGATCGTAGCAACACCTCCTCAAACAAGAGTCTGGTACCTAATCTCCGGCTACAGATGAATAAAGAGCTGGTTTAGGACGCTTCGAACTCGAAGCATAGGCCTTACCAGCATTATTAAACGACGCCTCTATCACTGTACTTTCTGCTCCTTTAAAGATTGCTATAGGTAGAATACATGGAAAAAATGAATTATTTCAGTGATTCCACCTACTATCCACAATACCGTTGTTCGACCCTGCACTCTGGAAATTAGCACTAGACTAGTCTCAGAAGCGCTCTCACATCTGCACAGTTTAGGAATACCGTAGCACGGCTACCCCAAGAAAAATCTAATCGATCAGTATTTGATGAAATTTGTAAAAAGAACGAAAACCTTCGAATAACAGCCGAACCGGCACACAAAGTCCGAAACGTGTTGGGAACCGCACAACATGTCATGATGGGCTATGTAAGCAATAAAAGCAAAAAATAAACTCTATGAATGCAAACACTTACTTCTTTGAAACTGAGAGGTTATTTCAGTTTGTGTATCATTTTCCAATTTTTCGCCGACATTGTTAGATATGATCGCCGTATGCTGCTGTGAAGTAGTGATGGACGGAGAAATGGTGGTTGATTGCGATGGCGAATCTGTAGTGGGATCAGGTTCGCTGATTCCATCTAAAAAAACATTAGTTATTCCAATTAAGTAGAATTTTTGCTTAAAATTGCTTAAATCAGACTTACAGCAATTCAAACAGTGAATCCAAGTGATATTTGTAGCATTATAATGATGAAAGATTGGTGATTTGTCGCAGTACTGTTCGTCATTATATGCTAGAGAACAAATCCTCGTAGTTGGATCATATGCTGCTCCACTGCAACCGTCCTGAAATTGCAAAAAACCAATCAAAAATAAAGACGAAAAGTCATAAGTCACTATGTGTTTTTGGAATGAAGGAAAACTTCGCTACGAATTAATAATCGAAATGCACCAGTAAAAGGTGATCGGATAAATTCTAGTTGGGATCTTCGGATAGCACTTTTAGAGAGTCCTCAAACCTAAACCAAAACTAGTCACAAGCCACTGTGATAATAGAAAGTCCTTCGAAGACGAAGACTCAGGGAAGCATTAGGTCGCCTCTGGTTCGCGATTAACCCACTGTCTGCCACGTGGAGCGGGTCACAGTGCTTCGCGACCCTCCGGTGAGAGATCCCTCTGTGAGGAAGGTCTGTGAATTTTTAAATACAGCTAACAAACTAATTAACCTTGTTCAAACAACTAACAACCCAAATCGTACGTATACGATTGAAAAGATGTGAATCAATACCGGCTTTGACAACGTTCGTCGTTTACGTGCCAGCATCAAGCAATGACAAAGAAGAAGTCGAAGCGTTAAGAAAAGAAACGAACAAGAGAAGTTCTATATGGACTTGGAAAAGTTCGACTGAGACGACCACACATTCTTCAAGGTAATCAATAGAGATTTCAACAACAAGATTGTACCAAGAAGAATGTCTGAAGAACATCACATTGGGACCCACGGATTAGAATGGAACGAACAGGGTGAGCGGCTGTCTGAGTTTATCATGGCGGCCAAGACAATCCACGGTAACTTGCAATTCCAGAAGCCCCACCTTCAGCGCAGGATGTGGGAGTCTCCCAATGGAGAGTACCATAACGAAGTAGACCACATCATAGTAAATAGAAGGTTTTGCTTAACCGATGTCGCTGTTGTCCCAAAATTCTACAAGGGATCAGACCACCGTCTCCTTCGCGCAAGATTCTACCTCACAGAAAGGAAAAAAAAGCCACTAAATTCCAAAATCGAAGTCCCAGAACCGCCGCAAACGGGACCTATTCAATTCATTAGTCGGCTGTTGGGAAGATACCATTGTCGATTCAATGGAAGACCAGCAAGACCGTGCAAGAAAAATGATCTCCATGATATCGGCAACTATCGCCCAATCTGCTTGCTTTCTCTCGTCTATAAACTTTTCACTCGAGCCATCCTAAACAGGATTGAAACCACACTGGACGAAGGACAGCTATGTGAGCAAGCAGAGTTTCGAAAAGGATTTAGTACAATAGACCAGATCCACAAGATAAGAAGACTTATAGAAGTAGTGCAAGTGTTAAAAAGACCTGTCTAACTTTCGTCGATTTAAAGAAAGCCTTCGACTCAGTGAGATAGAAGCATTCATGGAAGCCCTTGATAGTCAAGGAGTCCCTAATCAGTAAATAAAGATTCTTCGTGAGCTGTACAGAAATTTCACAGTCAATATATAACCATCGGAGTTAGACAAGGCGAAACGATCTCTCCAAAATTATTCACCGCCATCTTCGAGAATGTCATGCGAACATTGAAATAAGATAATATGCGAGCGAAAATTGATGGTCGGCAGTTACGCCATCTTCGCTTTGCTGATGATATCGTCCTTATAACACCAAACATTATTGACCAAGCAAAACGAATGCTTGCCGATTTTGATAAAGTCTATGGAAAAATTGGTCTACGAGTAAATCTGACAAAAAACGATGTTTATGAGAAACAGATTGGTTTCGTATGCTTCGTTAATGCTCAACGGAATTAATATCTCCGAATGCTCCAGTTATGTCTATCTAGGTCGGGAAATCAATGTGATAAACGACTTAGCTCCAGAGTTGAGCAGAAGGAAACGAGTGGCTTGGAGAGCTTTCAAGAGTAGCGAGGATGAAGTGAGGAGAGCAAAGAACACCCAACTCCGTGCCCATGTCTTCGAATTAACGGTACTTCCTGCGTTAACGCATGCGTCAGAAACCTAGTCGCTGCGTAAACGGGATGAAAAATCACTCAGCGTCATTGAACGTGCAGTCGAAAGAACGTTGCTAGGAGTATCCCGTGTCGCGCAAGTAAGGGAAGGGATCCGAAGCTCAGACCTGCGTAAACGATCAAATATCAAAGATGCTGTTCTGTAAACCAAAATGTAGAAGACAAGGTGGATCGGTGAAGTAATGCGTATGAATGACAACCGATGGACAAGAGCCGTTAGTGACTGGATTCCTCGGGACATCAAACGTACTGCAGAAAGATCACCGACCTGATAGTCAGAGCTTTTCACGAGAAACCTAGAAAAATGATATAACTCTCAAGGAATCCCTAGAGCGAGTAGAACCCACTGGGCTACTCTTGCACACGACTGAGAAAGATGGAGGGTTCACTTGGAGTCCGCTCGAGTTACTCAGAGGTGTATGGGGCTACATGTGATACAGGTGATACTAGAAGCATTTATATTCTTGCTAAGCAAACGGGAGTTGCTATTTTATTTTTCATTGGGGTGATGATGACGTTTCGAACGATTTCTCCTCTTTCAGAGCCTGGAAAGGTTAAGTTGATCACAATCTATACAGCCCAATATCTCCATATCCAAACAGAGGAAATTCTTAACCAAAACCTCAATCACATCACTGTATTTTAATCTTATTGAAGTCTTTGTTTAGCATTCTCTCTATTTGGTTATGGAGTTCTTTGTCCGCATAGATTGCGGCCAACTTGATCTGGAATCCGCAGAAACGTCAGTTTCATCGCAGTAGAATAAAATAACACCTCGTATTTGCTCAAAAAGAATATAAAGATTTATTTCATCAATGTCGAGGTTAATAGAAAGGCAGCCGTAGAAACTGCTAAAAGTGACCTTGGTCAAATCTGTAAGAATAAAGAACTGCATACGACATGAAACTGATCATATGTCATTCAGAAATCTCAACGCTCATGGTTGGTCACAATCAACCTTTGTATTTACTGCTTATTCTTTTTAACGGCAGGCTATTTTGCGAAATATAACTACTACAATGCTGAGGTATTTGCAAAACTCTGGACCTCAGATGTCTGCGATGGGAAACGAACGCGCTATTGTCCTTTCCGGGGAGTAACGCGTTCTCTACCACACCATGCGGGTCTTTCGTTTCGCCTGTTTCTCAGCTAGTTCCATAGATCTTTTGCCATCAGCAATCACCCACGGCATTGAACTGGGGAGCCCAAATCGGCATTTAACCCAGTTAAGCTCACGCTATAGCTATTATCATAATCTTAACCTTAACGCGTTCAGAAATTTCCCCGGAAAGGATAATAGCGCTTTCGCTCCCCACCGCAGATACATGCGGTCCGGAGTTTTGCAAATATCTCAGCATTATAGTAGCTAATGGTTGACACTACTTCTTTGCACACATGTACTCTCCTCAGCTACAGCTTCTACTTAGTAGGGAAAAGAAAGCATTATGACTCAAGAAATGGTGAGGATTACCTGATAGCAATGGCTGGCGCACAGTTCAATCGATTCGGCTGATAGTTGCAGTTCGAAAGGTGCTTTTGATTGAGATGGACGTTCACTGATAGGACGTGCTTGAAACTTTATGAGACAACCTATAAACTAGTAACGCATCAAAAACTTGAAAACTTGTCGTATTAGCAGAGCATATGGTTCTTTCTCACAATTCCTCAAATAGACCTTTCCCACTCTCTTCTAAATTTCCGGAGGCAACGTTGAAATATGTAATAATAATTTCTGCAGTCAAGATTTCGAGAACATAAGGAATAAAGAATATAGGATGGAGCACTCGGCTATGATCAATCTCTTAAGGACGCGCCGCGCATTCCACACCATTCATAGTGTCGTAAAAGTGGTCGAGTGAATATCTGATCTATACAATCACTTTCTATAAAACATCGATGTATTGAGCTGTAATTTTATCCTCATATGCAAATCTGGTACTAATTTTCTAACTCTGGAGAAATGGAGAGATTAGTTTACCTTGGACACGGGATCTAAGCTACAACACTATGTGTGTGTGCCCTGTGCACCTCCACCCACTACACTACATGGCCCATTGTATCACGAACGTACATTTCGTAAATGTTGCCAATATGCTCCTACATCAAGATCAAGTAGCAAGAACGACGATTCTTAAGGAAGCATCAGTCCTAAATTGATTCCATTCCTTCTCCAGAAAAAAACGCTTATTAAAACTCATGCTTAAATTCGAATCCTGAGAACCGTGTCGTCAACTTATTCATTACAGAATTCATTTCAGTAGCTTTGTAGCAAATAATAGGGAAAAAAGAAGCGAGGTTGACATGATCTTCGTGTTTTATTGTTAGTTGGTAAGTGCGCCTTGGTATTTTGATGTGTTATTCATCTCAACCTTCTAAATAGTACGGTACACATCTGTCAGCGAATCGAATCTACTCAAGAACTTGTATTTCAAATAAGGCATTGTAGGAGCGGAATATTCGACAATAACAAATCTAAAAGGTTACGAAAAATCACTGAAATGAAAAATTGACGACGACTGGTAAAAGCCGCTGAAACACGCCAGAGTGTTCAAATTTCTCGCTTTAATAGAATTCGTAACATTAGTTACATCGTGAGACATATATGACTCGCGCGCTTCCAGGCAAACTTGTTGCGGTGAGTCATTTGCGCAGTATCTTATTTTCGGTCATTTATTTTGTAGCAGAGATTTTTTTCCGTAGTTTTTGACATTCGACAGACATATGTTTTGGCGAGGGTCGGCCGAGGCAGCCTAACTATGGACTTATAAATACACAAGAACCTTTTTTCGAAAGAGGTCGTTCGTCAGTAATTTTGTTGACAATCTATTGCTACTTCGTGGCAGCCACTATGATGAATCTTGGTTACCGTATGGAATGGGGAGATATTTAAATGCAGAAAAATGAACGCAACGTAAGAAGCAAAACTTTTCTGAATCCTCATATAGAAACTCCATAACGGACCATAGAAACATACACAAAATACTCGCATACATACCATGCGTACTCCAATACCCGTAGAGCAAAGTATTCTCTACAACCCTGTCACGAATTCAAACCCTTAAATCCTCTGGTTACCGAAAAACCAGCAAGCCCATAACGGTATTAGCCGTTATCGCGGTTGTTCGTTACGTAAAATTAGCTATCGGTAGCAACTGGTCAAATAATGGCATTATTTCTATTTCAGAAACACACATTAAACTAATGGGACTCGGTTACCTTTTTGGAACTTGTTCGCATTAGTTATTGGGCGATGTTTTTTTTTAGATAGTGAATCAATGGTTGATGTCTCCGTCTCAGTCATTGGAGATGCTTGTGAAGCAGAAGGAAGAAGAGCATCGGTAGTGCCATTTGTGGCAGTCGTCTTGTCTATAATTAGAACTAGTTTGAAGATAAAACAAAGTAAAATTGACGGATCTGAAAAAAAAAGTTTGTTTCGAAAAACTGACAGCAGTTGACACAATTCAGCCACGTTACTTGATCAGTCTTGTACTGAAGCAACATGTCTTCCTTAGTGCAGAACGGATTGTCATTGTATGACAGGGCGCATGAACTAGCTGTGGGATCGTATTTAGCACCACTACATCCATCCTAAATATTAATGGCGGCTGTTTTTCGTACCTTAGAAAAGTTGAGCGTTTTTCAGTTTAATTCAGTTTCAAAGAATATACCTGATAACAGCGAAAAGCACACATTTCTGCTGAATCCACTAGAAACTCAATTTCAAGTGATGCATTGAACTCTGGTGGATGGTCAGAGAATGGTCGAGCTTGGAATTTGATGAGACAATCTGAACAATATGAAAGCATCACATTGTTCAATGAATCAAGAACTGCATTGTGATCAGAATGATTTACTGAAAAGTACCTATGGAAATATTAGGATTGAGTCGAAACCATCATAACCATTCTACTTTTTACGTGTTTATTAAGTTCATAACCAATTGAGATTGAAAAAGAACCAAGTATTAATTATGCCTTACCACTACTTTTCCTTAGTACTTGAGAATAGCCGAAAAGCTACGAGGGTTTGACTAGTCTTTCCGGACATTAAATATCGAGGTTTGTGAACAAAACTGAACCAAAGAACAACTGGCGAAGTGCGCTCGATTGTCCCAATGTATCCGTAACTCTTACTGGACGCTGTAACTTTTTTCGAGGGTCTCTAACTATTTACTTTTATTGGTTTCCGTAGAAGTTGCAGATGGCAGTGTTGTTTGGTCTTCGTGAATGGTAGTGTCAACCTTGTCTTCTTGATGAAGGATCACAAGTGCGTTTGATTTTGTTTCATCTTTATGACCTAGTTTCTTGAGAAAATCCTTCGGCGAACCTAAATGAGAAATAATAGCTTCTCAAAAAAGCGTACAACTGTCAAGTAGTGTTAAGCTGGAAGTTTTAAAAAAAAGTACGGTTGTGTAACAACTAAAGTGGAAGTGTTGGATTCGTGCGATTCACAGAGGTGATGAAAATGAATCGTGCAACTTCTGTACCGTGAAAATTTACTCACCACACCGGAAACACTGCAATATGACGTCTGCATGCCCATCATAGTATGCAGTCGATGGATCACTCGAGCACGAATCTCTACTATCAACACCTAGACGGCATTCGCCTCTCAGTGGTGAATAGACAGCAACCGCACAACGGCCAACGAAACAGATTCGCGCACACTCATTTACACTGAACACATGCTAACAACGATATTTACAAGCAATGCAAAGATCTCAGATATCATTTTTCATTCTTAATGAGAACTCGCGCCTTAGTGGCTTCTCTTATCTGTCATCACAATTTCACATAAGTACTTTAAAACCGGAAAGGTGCACAACTTCTTGACCTACGGTTTAGGTAATTTAGATTATAAATTTTTTAAATCCTATAGCTACTGTCAAGCTACTAAGAATTGTCGGAAAACCACCATCTGTTTGAAACGCGGACGAGTTATCCTCTCTAAACGGCTACCACCCTTGAAAATATGCCAGAACCATTATTAACTAAAAACATCAGAGGTTTCCAACCTCAAAAAAGGCTTATTATCTAGATTTTACTTGTGCAATATACGTTACTACGTTTCTATTTCGGCGCGTGTGGTGCAGTAGGCGGAGGTGCCCTGCAACACGCATATGTGATCGGTCCCCGCGCCCGTTGCTCACTATACCTTCCATTCCTTCAAAATCTGCAATTTGGTACCAGACTTGCCTAGAAGGATGGCAGCACTAGCTCGACCACCGGGAGTTATTGTAAAGGCCAGATATGCATCCAGTTACCTCAAGCGGTGCTTAGTGAAGTGTGCCGCATCTCTCTGGGATTGATCAACGCCGAGAGCTGCATCCTTTTATTTGAAGCTTTTGCTTCAACTTAAGCCATAATCTTTTATGATGCTTGTAATAGTAGGAAAATTTACACTCGACACTTGAGATTTTTAATGTCTTTCTTGCTACGTTAAGTATTTTGGCACGTTTTCAGTGTGATTACTTCGTGATCGGAAAATGAACGTAATGCTACATTCTGCAAATTCCAGCTATTTCTTTTTAGTTGTATGCTGCAAGTAAATTATTTGAACAACAACCTGGCCAGTTACGGTATTATAGGCATAACTCAGAAATTATTTGTGATACAACCACAATGGTGCTCAGATATTTAAAGAACTCCGGACCGTAGGTGTCTACGGTGTAGAACGAACGAACTCCTTTCAGTGGGCTCCTTTCAGTGGGTTAACGCGTTCACCACCACACTATGCTAGTCTTTTGCTTCACCTTTTTCTCAGCTAGTTTTCTATCGATCAGTGCCATCAGCAACCATCATTCGGCGGGATTGATCTGTGTAGCTCAAAACGGCAGTGGGCTCAGTTAACCTGAGGCTGTGGTCAGTCGAAATCACAATGTTAACTTTCTCATTTATTGCCTATCACAATTTTCCGTAGAACTCAGGACCGCAGGTGCCTGCAAAATATCTCAGCACCATTATGGTTGTATCACACATAATACCCTATCGTGAAAAATTGTAAATAAAAAGTTGTAGTAAGCAGCAAATAAAAACGTTAAGATTAGAAATGATTATTAATAGTTTTAATTGGTTCGTGAAAATACGTTCATTTTGAAAGTATCGTAAAAATTCATTCTGGCAGATGTCTTTAAGATTTTCGAAACTAGCTTTTTAAGAACTGCAAAAGGCTATTGAAGAACCAAAACTGTTAAGAGGTTTACAATTTAGTAGACTTTTAAAAGAGACCTTACTCTATCTATTCAAGGTGAGTACGTTTCTTTTAAAAATATCAGTTCCTACTTAAAAACACCTAGAATCAAAATTTTCAGGTAAATAAATGGGAATGGGATATGAATCTTTAAGATTCTTAGTGGAAACCCAAAAAGTGCAAGCATCTTCGATATATTGATGCGGTGCTCTCCAGGATGGACAATAGTTTCTTTATTTCAAATAGAAGCATCAATGAAAAAGTGCCAAAAAAGGATCTCTGGGTTCCAAAAAAAAACTAGAATGTCCTCATAACAAACTAAGAAAGCATAAAATTTAGTAAAAAAAGGTTTTCACACTTCAATCGTTTCTATTTAAATTCATGAAGTTCACTATAAGTCAGTGTAGTGATGAGGTTGGGCGTGCTTTCCACTATATGCGTCATGATTGGCCCGACCACGATTCCTAGGTCAACTAAGTCCTCGGTCGCTTTGTGCTCGAAAAAATGTTACCAGAATTCCTTGGAGGGAGCAAAAGCAAATACGTGATACATCAGTAGCTTACCATAAACCACTTTATTGGGCGATTATGCATTAAATCATTCTGTAATACTACGAATGAAGTCGAATATGTGGCGACTCCGGCAGAGATTGATCAGCGCCGTACGTTTTATGGTACTTTATCCACAGTAAGCCGAGAAAAAGCTGAGTGAAAGCTGAAGATGTCTAGTACTTAAGCACTTTATGAATGGAAATCAATTCACATTAAAGTCTAAATGTTAATCTGAATTAGTTTTCCATTTTATTACATCTCCTTGACATCTGTATTACACGAAGCTTTAGAGAAAAAAAGAACACTTTAACAGAATTTGATTTTGCAGTGGATAGTTTTACTTGTCCCTATACCATGACTGGCTTTGATTAGCAGACTCTCCAGATTTTTATATTAGTGAAATATTTTCGGTTATTAATTTTTTTTAGTACAAATCAATGGGGAAGCGAAAGATCTTCGGTTGTAAGAAGAAAGCACAAGAAAATTACTACTACCCAAAAGGAAAGAAAACACTAAAGAAGCGTTGAAAACAACTATAATGCTTAAAGGCACACTAATCATTCTGCTCACCTTCTGACTCTCGCCACCTCATAATGCTTAAATGATAAGGTGTCAGCCTCGGTATCCAATTGGAAGTTTATAAAGCATGCTGAAATACAAGATATAAGCAAATCAACAGACATTGGCATTGTCCTAAGTGGTGGCAGGTTGTTTTTTTTTCAAACAAAGTATAAGGTCGCGAAAAGATGAGCAGTGGTAGAGATACCAGCCGTTAATACGAGTAAAGCCACTGGTTCGAATCCGCACTGAGTCTCAAGACTCCCAACCATACAGGGTCGAGAACGTGACTCTCGATTTCTCTAGAAAGGATTCTTACCCATCAACAAAGGATGATAACTGGATGTGGTAAGGACCAGGGAATGCTATTAGAATTCAACCATATTCGTTAAAGAGGACTATAATCCTAAAATAGAAGCCGAACCTACGCACAAAAGCTGAGATTTTCGCGAATGATGTCTCGTGGAAAGCATTCGAGTGGAAAAAATGCAGAAATCCGAATAGAATGAGATGTTGAATCATGTAATAAAGGAAACAAAAAGACCGAGGTCTAGGTAAAATCCACTACAGTAATCTGGGAGGGTTAAAGCGTAGCCAAACGAAGTACATTTAGTATTATTCACCGGGATAACGCGTACTGAAGGAGTGTTCAAGATGATTCCGTAGTATTTGTTGAGCTGGCGTTGGATTCGAAACAAAATGGACGTGATCTTCAGAAGTAACTGAAACAGATAAATGATATTGAGAGAAGCATTAAATATTATTGTGTTGAATATTGAATATTATTGTTATAAATTTTAACTTTTTATTTACTGCCTACCTTTTTTTAAATGGTAGGGTATATAGCGAAATATAACTTCAATGATGCTGAGATATTTGCAAAACTATCGGCAGAGGCAGGCGAAACGAAGCATTCACACGGTGTGGTGGTAAATGCGTTACTCCCCGAAAGGGCAATAGCTCGTTCGTTCTCCACCTTAGACACCTGCGGTCTCGAGTTTTGAAAATATCTCAGCATTATTAAAGTTATTATAAATATTAGAACAGAATATTGAATATTTCAAGAAATTGGAATGGATGCATCACGCAGCAATATTGATGAAACCCGCTTAGGTCAAAAACGATTTAAGCCGTTGGCATGTATATCATTTAAAAAAGGCTTAAAAACCGTAAACTATGCAAGAATCGGTTTAATGGTTAGATATGGTCAATTTATAAGGAAAAATCTCGGAACGCGCTGCACACTGCTCCATATAGTAACAACATTGAAAGTGCTGAGACAAGGAAGGCATCGAGTTTACAGCGGCCAAAAATTTGTAATGTTAGTTGTCCGCAAGAGTTAAAGGTAAATTAAAAAGGCTATAAATGCGTTTTTTTTTTTCAGCAAGCGCAAAGCTGTTATATAGCATACGTTTAGTTCCGTACGTAAAGAAAATATACCACACAACGATAGCTGACGTTTCGGTAGCATCGCTTTCTTCAAAACAATTTTTTACGTGTCTTCCACTGGAATCAGTCATCAGCCATATGCGACTTTAATCAACTGTTCTTTTCTCTCTCAGTGAAAGACACGTTAAAAAACCGTTCTGAAGAAGGCGATACTGCCGACAGTTTAACTATTGTTCTATTATAGCTGTTTCTGTACGGAAGTAAACGCATGCTGAATAACGAACTCGCGATTGCTGAAAATGAAAACAATTCATTTATAATCCAGCACCGAGTTTAATAGAAAGTCGATTCTGGAAACTGTTAGAAGAGCTATACCTTGATAATATGTGGGAAAAGATGAATTTTCAGAAACGCTAAGAAATTCGCGACGATACCTTGCTTTCAGTAGCTTCCGCTAATAATCGTGAATATTTCGAGTACCATAAATGCTTTAAACACTTTAAGCACTTTTGTGTTGTTAATACAAGAGTATATATAGAAAAAAGATTAAAGCTTTTTGGTGTGGATCAATTCCTGAGAAAAGCGTAATGCACTCGTCTCAATTCACAACATCGTAAAGGTTACTGAATGCCTATTTGGCCTGTACTCTGGCCTTCAGAAGCCTAGCGATGAGACAATCCGGTGTTTTTATCCTCCCAGACAAGTTTAGTATCAATTCAATTTCCAGACCTCGAAAGGACGAACGGCATGGATTCCTAAGACGCCTAATCGAACCAAAAACGGTGTGTGTCGGATAGAGCTACCTCTAACCGTGACGCTACATGACCCCAACGTACATATGACTTTTCGAAAGTAATTTCATTCTGACGTCATTTCAGAGTAAATTTCTCAAGCATTAAATATTCTAAAAACATTATACGTAATCTTGAAACAAACTAGCATATTTGGTATGCTCTTGAACAGCCTGTTGTGTTCTGCTGAAAGAAATTTAGCATGTTCTATCGCTCACTGTATGCAGTATCACCGACGCCTTTTACGAGAGCGGTTAAATAAGTTCGGGAGTTGGTAACGCAGTAGTACAAATGCCGTTTGGGATAATACTCTCAAAGCCCTGATTAGACTCCGCACAAACCGAGCAAGCCACCCCTTTCCTGGAATAAGCAGGTTATTACAAAGCTTATATCAGAGAAACACCCTCAGTCTGCAATGTTCCACAAAAGTTGGCAACTTTATTTGTTGGAGACCTCGGAATGCCCTAACACGGTTTTTCTAGAATTTCACGGAAATATGTCTCTACCAGCATTCAATGACGTTTAGAAAGGTACTGAAAATCGACAACTATCATCCGAATCCACACACAAATCAAAAGACAACCTTGGATGGCGAGCATGCAGAAATATGAATACTAGATTTGTACAACACAAAATGCTCTCGATTGTTTTAGTTGCTTTATTTAAATCAAAGATTTCAAGCCGAAAAAACGAAATATTTAAATCCACCCATGTGTGACTCACGTTGTCGCAAGTGTGTTAACTCTTGTTCCTAGGTTCAACAACTCTAATCCCCTTCTGCTACGTCGTAGTGACTTTTAGTTAATAAATTATTTTTTAGAAACGTTTAGCCTAGCTGATTCCACAGTTTTCGTCACTGGTTCTCCACTTACTGACCTTTCTGTTCTACAGTGTTACGCCATTCCGCCGTAGGCTCCCTGCTCGGTGGAAACCCTCCTAAAAAATTCAATGAAAACAATGGTAACATTAAAACACAGAGTATTTTGAATAGTGGTGTCTGTCTTCTTTCTTCAATTTAAAGTCGGCGAGGTATGAAACTTTGTCAAAAACTTCGGTAATTTAAGGTTTCATGGTTCGAAAAAGTGGTAATCATAAAATAATATATGTAGGATAAAGCGTTCGACGTTAATCAATCCCTTAGAAATGCACCATGCATTCGACTTCATTAGTAATATCGCATGGGTGATTGAATATGTGTTTGGCCTATACAATAGCTTTAAAGGTCCTACAGATAGTGTTAGTCACCGTCATTATCTTCTTAGACTAGCCTACCATCAAAATACTATATACAGGTAATAAGAGAATGACTGGAATACCCAGCAATAAGGTCTTTTTCCGATGCTGTCGGACTTTTGAAAACCGCTATGGCCTTCATTGGCTCAAAGAACATGGTAAAAATCACATTTTTAGCCTGATTTTCATGGCTTTTTTTGACAAGGAAGTAATCCCAACTTTTTTATGCTCTGTTTCTGTATCAGCTTACCCTGAGCTTGTTTTCTCGATTAAATTGTCGAAATTGGTATGATGCTATTGAAGAAATGAACCCATTGCATTTCATAGTTTGGTATTTACTAGTAACCTTCAATTGTGATGGAAAAACAAAGGATGTAACTTTTCGGCAATGTTAAAACGTTGAGACATGCATCAAGCATTAGGCTGAATTCATAGTATTATATGGGTGGTCGAATGCATAATATTTGCTTTATATAGTATGCCACGGATCTCCCTTATATGAGGGATCTCGAGCCGGTTAGTCGCGAGGTTACGCCGATCGTCCCCAGGTGGCGGATAGGGGGTTAATCGCGGACCAAAAGTGAGGTTGCTTCCTTGAGATGCAGATGGATCCGGGGGATGGACTCCCTGTTTCTGCTGCGCTGATTTGGCACATACTTTCTGTATTTGCTAAGTGTATTCATGCATGCCTGTGCGGGCGCGTTCCTGCATATGCCGATTGTATTCGACGAGTCAATTCGGCCAAAAGCCTGCAATTAAGTAATAGGGAAGAACATGAGAGGCGGTTGCTGTTTGGAATCGTCTCCAACAAATAAGACATGCAGTCCAATCTGGGAGACCATGGCAAGCCACCCGTGAGGATACGCAGCCCACCCGTTCAGAGCCCAGCAAGTTATCAATACGATATTTTGATACGTGGGTACCAAAATGCTAAACACAATAACAAAACGAACCTCATTTCCCTGACACCGAAAGAGCCCCCAATTTTGCAGCGTTGGGTAAGACCAGTACGGAGAGGATGCTAAAATCACAGGGCTAATGGAACAGGGACTGGATTTCGAAGAACGAAGGTGACGATCTGTACCTACAATGCAATGACACTTGCATCCAAGTCCTCGATAAAAGAGCTGCTCACGCAAGCAAGAAGGATTGGGTACGACGTCATCGACATGGCCGGAAAGAGACGACGCCACCCATTCAACGCCGCCTGTGACACTGGAGAAAGACATGCGACAGCAGAGGAGCCGGCGGCGTCGGCGTCCTCGTCAACACGAGAGTGTCCATGAACATTGATTCATTCAAACAACTAACAACCCAAATCAGACGTTTACGATTAAAAAGATGTGGATCAAACCCGGCGTTGACAATCTCCGTCGTTAACGCGCCAGCATCAAATTATAACGAAGAAAAAGTCGAAGCATTCTATATGGATTTGGAAATGTTCTACAGGTAAGAACATACATTCTTCAAGGTCGTCATTGGAGATTTCAACGCCAAGATTGGCCTAAGAAGAACGTCTGAAGAACGTCACATTGAACCCATAGATTAGAATGGAACGAACAGAGTGAGCAGTTATATGATTTTATCATGGCAACCAAGACCGTCCATGGTAACTCACAAATACAGAAGTTCCACCCTCAGCACTGGACGCGGGATTCTCCCAATGGAGAGTACCATAACGAAATAGACCACATCATAGTAAATAGAAGGTTTTGCCTAACCGATGTCGCTGTTTTCCCGTAATTCTACACGTGATAAGACCACCGTCTCCTTCGTGCAAGATTCTATTTCACAGAAAGGAGAAAAAGCCACTAAATTCCAACATCGAAGAACCAGAACCACCGCAAACGGGACCTATTCAATTCATTAGTCGGCTGTTGGGAAGATACCATTGTCGATAACATCGACGAAGAATACGATAGGCTCGTTCAACATCTTCACGTTAGCGTTATGAAAGCTGAGAGTTCGAAAGTCACTAAGAGACGTCTGTCTTCAGAAACTCTTGGGCTGATACGCCAGCATGGAATCGCACGAGCTGCAGGCAACCACGAACTGACGTCCAAACTTGTAAAGCAATGCAGAAAGGCGATAAAAGAAGATCTTAAAAAAGAAGAGCAGCAATAAAGGTCTGACCTGCAGAGGCTGGGAAAAGCGTTCGCAAAGCCCACCAATGCTTCGCCAATTACAAGACCAAGATGATTGTACTCCGGCGCCCAAACGGAACAGTTGCAACATCAAGAAAGGCAATGGAAAAAATCATTCACGAATACTACTAGAATTTTTTCGATAGCCACGTCCACCTTTCGTTATATGAAATAAAGGAGAATGGATATGTTGTACCACCGGTTCTCTTTTTCGAAATCCAGGGTTTCGAAAGGGATTTAGTACGCAAAGCAGGGTTTCGAAAAGGATTTAGTACGATGGACCACATCCACACGGTAACACGGCTTATTGAAGTATCGCGAGTGTACAAAAGACAGCTCTGTCTCACTTTCATTGATTTACAGAAGGCCTTTGATTCAGTGGAGGTAGAATCAGTTTTGGAAGCCCTTGGTGGTCAAGAAGTTGCTACACACTACTTAAAGATTCTTCGTGAGCTGTACAAAAAATTTATAACCGAGGTATTACCATTCTACAACGATATTAACATTGAGGTTAAAAGAGGAGTTAGGCAAAGTGATACGATTTTTCCAAAATTATTTACCGCCACTTCCAGTTCCAGAAGCCCCACCTTCAGCGCAGGATGTGGAAGTCTTCCAATGGAGAGTACCATAACGAAGTAGACCACATCATAGTAAATAGAAGGTTTTGCTTAACCGATGCCGCTGTTGTCCCAAAATTCTACAAGGGATCAGACCACCGTCTCCTTCGCGCAAGATTCTACCTCACAGAAAGGAAAAAAAGCCACTAAATTCCAAAATCGAAGTCCCAGAACCACCGCAAACGGGACCTATTCAATTCATTAGTCGGCTGTTGGGAAGATACCATTGTCGATAACATCGACGAAGAATACGATAGGCTCGTTCGACATCTTCACGTTAGCGCTATGAAAGCTGAGAGTTCGAAAGTCACTAAGAGACGTCTGTCTTCAGAAACTCTTGGGCTGATACGCCAGCATGGAATCGCACGAGCTGCAGGCAACCACGAACTGACGTACGAACTTGCAAAACAATGCAGATATGCGATAAAAGAAGGTCTTAAAGTGAGAAGAGCAGCAGTAATGGTCTAAGCTGCAGAGGCTGGAAAAAGCATTCACAAAGCCCACTAACGCTTAGCCAATTACAAGACCAAGATGATTGTACTCCGTCGCCCAGACGGAGCAGTTGCAACGTCTAGAAAGGCAATGGAGAAAATCATTCACGAATACTACTAAGATCTCTTCGATAGCCACGTCAACCTTCTGTCATATGAAATAAAGGAGGATGGATATGTTGTACCACCGGTTCTCTTTTTCGAAATCCCACATACCATTTTGTCGGTGGAAAATCGAACAGCACCAGGTCCGGAGAGGATAAAACCAGAACACCTGAAAAACCTTTCGCCAGTTCTGATAAACACACTGGGGATCGGTTCTTCACATATTACCTGCCTGAATGGAAGGTCTCTATTCAATGGAAGACCAGCAAGACCGTGCAAGAAAAATGATCTCCATGATATCGGCAACTATCGCCCAATCTGCTTGCTTTCTCTCGTCTATAAACTTTTCACTCGAGCCATCCTAAACAGGATTTAAACCACACTGGACGAAGGACAGCTATGTGAGCAAGCAGAGTTTCGAAAAGGATTTAGTACAATAGACCAGATCCACAAGATAAGAAGACTTATAGAAGTAGTGCAAGTGTAAAAATACCTGTCTAACTTTCGTCGATTTAAAGAAAGCCTTCGACTCAGTGAGATAGAAGCATTCATGGAAGCCCTTGATAGTCAAGGAGTCCCTAATCAGTAAATAAAGATTCTTCGTGAGCTGTACAGAAATTTCACAGTCAATATATAACCATCGGAGTTAGACAAGGCGAAACGATCTCTCCAAAATTATTTACCGCCACCCTCCAAAACGTCATGCGAACATTGGAATCGGATGATATGGAAGTGAAAATCGATGGTCGGCAGTTACACCATCTTCGCTTTGCTGATGAAATCGTTCTTATAACATCAAACATTAGCCAAGCGGAACGTATGATTGACGACTTTGGCAAAGCTTGTGAAAAGATTGGTCTTCGACTAAATTTCATAAAACCAATGTTCATGAGGAACGGACTGGTTTCGTATGCTCCGTTAATGCTCAACGGAATTAATATCTCCGAATGCTCCAGTTATGTCTATCTAGGTCGGGAAATCAATGTGATGAACGACTTAGCTCCAGAGTTGAGCTGAAGGAAACGAGCAGCTTGGGGAGCTTCCAAGAGCAAGGAGGATGTAGTGAAGAAAACAAAGAACACCCGACTCCGTGCCCACCATTTCGACTAAACGGTAATTCCTGCCCTTACGTATGCTTCAGAAACCTGGTCGCTGCGTATGAAGGATGATATGGGTCACTCAACGTAATCGAACGCGCAGGCGAAAGGACGACGCTAGGAGTATACCGTTCCACACATGTAAGGGATGGGATCTGAAGCGCTGATCTGCGTCAATCGAAGATAAAGTGGGCCGGACACGTAATGCGTATGAATAACAACCGATAGACAAGAGCCGTTAGTGACTGG